CCTTCCTTCCTTCCTTCCTTCCTCCCTCCCTCCCAGATCAGGCTATTTGTCCCTACAATCTTATGCATTGTTTTAAGTAAACCACATTAATCACTTAACTTCTGAGCACAGATTATAGCAATGCAAAGGACTGTAGCAGAAAAGGCAAACGACCTTTACAAATAACATTGCTAGAAAAATTATGTTTGAAATGAACCCCACTGGCCTCCTCCTGTCTACATTATATGGCACCCTGTCCTACAAAAATGTGCAGATATTCACAAATGTTTAGAGCAACAGTATATTTGGATGCCTTCAAACTTGTTGCCATAAGTGGGATTGCCAGCCAGATATACTGATCATGCTCTCATTCAGTGAAACAGGCACTCAGCCATGTTCTCTTCCATATACAATTCTGTATTTTCAGGACCAAATTGTATGCTGCTTCAAAGACCAGGCTATTTATTCTTCTCTTCCTTTCCTTCTCTTTTTCTGCTCCAGTAAATTCAGGGAAATTGAACTGGATTCAGAACCAGGAATATATGTGGGGTACACCCTTTCCTAACTGCAGGGGAAAAAAAAAAAAGATTGATCCCTGATGCTAAAAGGTAATTGCTACAGTAAAAGTTGGCTGTGATTGGTTATATAATTCTTTAGATAATTTTCCTGAGCATCTGCAGGATCTTGCTGCTTTTACCAAAATGACAAAAGCAGTGTGCACTGTTGGGCCACAAGCTCCATCCCTTTGTTGTGTACATGCAACATCACAACACAATGCCACTTTCACCATTGTGCCTCCATTTGCTTCTCACAACGTTGCTGGATATTACCTGAAAATATATGGGGTTATGATCACACTCTCCTCTCTACCTGCATCCAGAATAGCTTTTGAACATTTTGAACATTTATGTTTGAAAACACTGGGTGAGGTGCTGGCAGTTCCAGATATGAAAATAGCCCTTCAGTTTAAATGAGTTTGTGAGTTTAGCTCTAATCCCTAAAATAGCTAAGAATGTGTCTCTGTTGCCAGATAATGTCACAAAAACGCAGCTCAATATGACTGACAGGTTTTGTGCACTTAAAACTGAAATTTAGAAATGGATATTATTATTCATTGGGAAGGTTATGAAAAATGCAGCCCCTGCATATGGCATTTTCTTGCATTGCCATAAAAATCCAATTTAACAACAGCATGTCAGCCCATAACAAATGAACAGAAAATCTAACATGGCCAGAAAAACAAGTTTTCCCCTTAGTCACAAGTTTCCTAAAGCTTACAGCAAAGAAACCATTGAATCGAATCGAATTCATCATTAGATCCATCTTAGATTTTTCTAACAGTTTAATTTGGTAGTTGTCTACTGTGCATAGCCAGATGACAAGGAAAAAGAATGCCAGCATTTAAATAAATGTGTGCCTGTGAAATTTGTCATCGTAGGCAATTGCATTTTTTAAATAGTGTTCAAACACCTGACCTTTTTATAAGAAAATCACCAGCATGGAAGCTTATTTCAAGTCTTGACATTTGCAGCCTGTTACGGAAGAAGAACTAAAAAGTCCTAAAAACTACACAAAAACCTTATTGTCTCCCTTAAAAGCAGAACTGGCCCAGGAAGCTCTTCACTTCTCTCAGATGTAGCTAAGTCCAGCGCCATCTAGTGAAGAAGCTACCTAATGATAGTGTTCACATAATCGTCTGAATGGGGCTCTTCCACCATGCATTATAATGCAGTCATCATCCTTGAGCCCAACAACTCTGTAAGGTAGGTTGGGCTGTGAAAAACTGATTGACCCAAAGCTACCCAGTGAGCTCCTATCCCTGAAAATGGATTTGAATCTGAGTCTCCCCACCCTAGTCCAACATCTAAACCAGGGTTTCTCAACCTTGGCAACTTTAAGATGTGTGGACTTCAACTCCCAGAATTCTGGGAGTTGAAGTCCACACATCTTAAAGTTGCCAAGGTTGAGAAACACTGATCTAAACCATTGCATTTCTTGACTGAAGTAAGATTAGTTTTTGTTTCAGAGGTCTACTACAGTTCTGACCCATCTATGTGATTTTATAACAGAGGGTTCTTCATTTTATTGCCTTTGAGTGTGTTGTTTCATAGAATTGCTATCTAAAAGCAGTCTCGGTTTAAACAAGTACAGTATCTAACTCACCTTCAGGGCTGACTAAGAATATTGGCGCCAGAAAAAAATAAATTATTGAAACAGAGACTGACACTTCTATCATTATTGCTGTTTATGAAAGGCATATTTGGTTTGTGTTAGTACTGACATTTTTGCTCCTGACCCCTTCAGAATTAAGCTCCGGCTAGAAAGGATTTTTGGCTAGTGGCCACTATTGATTTCTCTCGGCAGTTTTCTGGAGCCTCACCCCCCCCTCCTCTTTTTCCATTTCAATGTATGCCAGTTAAAAAGGCTGTGGCAAAAAGCCTAACAGTGAGAAGAAAACAGGAACACCCAGGCATTTATTCCTACCTACATAGATACATACCCCAAGACGTGCCTTTCTGGGTGTCCAGGGGGGCAGGTTCCATGTTTTCAGGTTGCTTCAAAAAGAAAAGAAAGCCTGTACCACAGTCTAACACCCCTGTGATGATATTGATTTAGTTTCAAATTTATGCCATCTCCATACTCCCAAGGTGTGTTAACAATGCTGCTCTGTATCTTTGCCCTTCTATGGGTCTGCGAAAGTGAAGCAGAATAAGGTACCGTAGCATTATTCCCAGTGTTTTTTCCCTACCAGACCATTAGACAAGGACCATGTCTATCATTCTTCAAAATCTACTCTACTGAGGCTACATAACTCATTAATTCTATCTCTTGCTCCTTCTATCACACTGTCCTGTTTTTCTTCTTCTGAATGGGACTGCTTTATTGTACCCCAAGCGCTGTTGATAAAATCTAGTGTCTATGACTGTCAACCTTTCCTGCCAGGAATTATGTATTTTTAATAAATGTGCAACAGCATAACGTTTAACATGGGAAGCTTTCTATCACTGTTTTTTTCATGCTGAAAACTTTATCTTGAATTTCCAGTGATCAGACTTGATAATGCAATGCAAGACATCATTTTTCCAGACATAAAAGCACTGAATAGAGCTTCACTATTATTAAAACTGAAAATTGAATAGCTTACATGTTGAATTTTAACCGACATTGTAAACTGACATTGAAACCCTGCCATTAAAATATATGTACTGCTGTTGAAATGTGGGCACTCTGAATAAATCATACTGAAATTTACTTAGGATCAATGCACAATGTATGAAAGGTTTGCTTGGAAAGATTTAATATCTAAAACAAAGCTTGGTGCCTTGGAATCTACCTTACTTTTCTCAGTAAAATGGTTTCTGGTATCCTCAGTGCTCAACATTTTGCTCATAGAAAGGAAATAAACTGCCAACAGAATTATACTCATGATTTGGGATGAGGCCCGATCCTCAAGCAGACTGCCACAATTCTAATATGTCTAATCTCAATTCATAAGCAGGTGTGAAGCTCTGCCACTAATATTGAATTTGAAATTAACTAGCAAAGACAGCACAGCAGCACAAGCATCAAGCTGGAGAACATTCTCAAAACCTGATTCATGGGAAGCAGAAAAACATGAAGACCTCTTTTATCCTCACAACAAAGAAATAGCCACCTTATCCCCAAGGACACCTGAGCCAAACACAGGCTAAGAAAATGTTAGTTAGAATGGAGCAAATCCCATCCAAAGTGGAAATGAGATAAGAAACTTGCCTAGGGGAGCCACAGTTCAGTAACAAGACTGGGATCTTCTCATTGGAGCTTCCATATTTATTTCAGAAATACATGAGATGTAGATATGTTACATGTGGTTTAGAACAGGGTTAGGCTATTTTTTTTCTCTCGCTGATAACTATTTTTTGTTAGATTCCCTTGAACTGGAATTAATGTTATCAATCTGCAGGGACACACTGTTTTCAAAGTACAGGAGTCTCAGCAGAAAATTATCAAGAATACTTCCTTATCCTTTTAGTGTTCTCAGAGTCACCCAAATGGCTAACCGTGACGCAGTGCAGCATAAAGTTGTGGAGACAACCTTACTGATGAAAAAGACCAAGATTTAATTTAGCAAAGCAAGACTCAATTGAAATGACTGGAAGAGAGGAATTAGTCCTAATTAAACTGTCTCTCAAGAGTACCTACTAGGTGGGCCAAGATGGCCAGTTCCATACTTGATGGGAAATGGCATAAGATGCTACAGTTTTAAAAGTATTGCAGCTTCAACAATATTTATATTTATTTATATTATAAAACTTTTGCTAAAACTTCTGGGTTTTGTTTAGAAAATACATACATATTTACTTACAGCCAAAGAGAATTTCTTCCCTGTGTAATAACTCCTGTGAACTTTGTTAGTCTGCGAGCATCTACTTCAATCCATTGGTAGGGATCATTCCGTCCTGCACACCAAGCACCATCATAAAAATCATTCTCATTAATACCTGCCTGAAGAGAAGGCAAAGCTGTCTTTATAAATCTGAATAGATGCCCTTTGAAAAGAAATAAGTAAAGAGATACAAGTAAGCTAAAGTAAAGTTATAGCTCATTCTAGCCTCCATTTTTGTCATGGCTGGTGGTCATGGATGCTTGTTTATTGACTTCTAGAAACCCAAAACATGGGTTTGTGTCAAGATAGTGGCCAAGGCTGAAGGCTGTAACAGGAACAAATGGTTGACCAGAAAGCAGGATTCAGCAACAAAGCAGAAATCAAGACCAAAAGGCAAGAATCAGTCAGAAAAGTATTGCATGAGGTTAAGTTTCATCTCTGGACTGGGAGGAAGCAGATTCTTTAAATGGCACTTGTTATCTGGCATATAGCTATGTCTATGTTGCCATTTTCAGATTCCAAACTGTAATATTTAACCTGTTGGATCTTTCTGTGCTTTTTTTTTAATTAGATGATCTTGCTCCAGATCACTCAGCATGCACCATAGAACATGTATTTCTTTAGTAATCAAAACAAGATGTTACAGAATATTTGTTCTCCTAGAGTGCATTTTAGTGAATGAGATATTGTATGTGGTACTGTGATACATGCATGCACGCACACACATAATAGCTTTGAGTTTCATCCTTTATATCAGGGTTCCTCAAGGCTGGCTGAGGAATTTTGGGAGCTCAAGTCCACCTGTCTTAAAGTTGCCAAGGTTGAGGAACCCTGCTTTATATAATTCCCAGAGATTTCTTACAATCTATTCTGATAAATAACTCACTATACAAGCTGAAAACTAATCTGTTTCTCAGCATGGCATTGAGGGTGACTTTAAAACCATAATGCCACATTTTTCTATGAATCCTGCATCATCTGCAATGTAGAGAAACAATGCATTGTAGAGAAGCTGCTCTACTTAGCATTGGCCCAATCTCTGGGAGCACACAAAAGTAATTATTTCAGAAAATTCCAAGGAGTTCATTAAAGGACTTGACATTGGGTTTTCCAGGTGCTACCAAGCTTCTAATCAAGCCAGAAGTTTTGCTCCAAAAATACTCTGCATAATTGGATACTTCTTGTTATCAGCATCAATACAATCAGCACCGGAGAACTACGAGAGTGCATTTTGATGCCAGCCTTTCTGCTCAGCATCAAACTGAAGGGTGATTTCTCTTCCCACTTTTGTGAACTTTGTAAAAAACAAATATTCCATGCATCTGACAAAGAAGCATACTTGGAGTTGATGGATGCTTGTAACATAATATCTGTATGAGGACTTTCAACATGCAGGAACCCTCCCAAGCTGAGATCAGTGCTGTTCCCCCACATCCCCATGACAATAAGGGACTTCTGTGGATATTGGGAAACTAAGCCAATTAACAATTGTATCAGTTTCTGCTCCAGAAGAAATGATTCAAAGAAAGATTTGTGTTGTTTCCTCTAGAGCTGCAGGACAAGTGTTATTCCACTGTCAAGAATCATATTTTGACAGAGACTGATTAATTGCCTGGGATTGACTTATCAATTGCATTTCCATACTGCCAACTCCCCAAGGACTCCAAGTGGTTTCCATGATAGCCAAATACACAATCCATCATTTGCACAAATAATGGGGTGAGGGCAGGCTTGATATTAAAAACTTGGGGGAGCAAAGAGTTAAAGATCCCCTATTACTGTACTCACTATTAACCAACATTAGGCTATACGTTATTTCCTTTTGTTTAAAATGGCAGTAGTCATCAGGGTGGTCAGAAATGAGAGACATCTACAGGTGGCTTTTCAGAAGAGTCATATCCCCTACATTTGTAAAAAAAAAAAGATAATCTTACCTGAATATTTAACCGTGCTCTGTGAGCTCCCAGGCCGTATCGCTTCACTGTAGAAGCATGGAGCTGAAAATCAGTAATTTTTAAAGTTTCAAGACCTAGTGGAGGACAACCTGCAAAGCAAATATTTAAGTTTTAAATAAGAAAGCAGTCAACAAAGTACATGAACCTTCACAGATGCTTTGTTTAAATGTGCAAAATTTTGCATCTTCTACTGTTGTGAAGATGCAAAATTAGATAAATTCTCTTCCGTGAAGAAAGATTTGTAACCGTAACTGTTTTTGTAACTGTAGTGTTAATTTTGCAACTTGAGTGTCTTGGGGGTAGTATTATCCATAATCAATAAGTTGTCAACAAAAATACCCATATAATTGTAGTTCAAGAAATATACAAATATACAAAATATTTTAAAAGTTTACATATGAAAAGAAACAATTATTTCCTTGTTTTTGCTTTAAAAAGAACTTTAAAGACTGATGTGAAGCTTCATCAGAAGAGACAAATGAATAAATGAAAATGACAAGGACGATACGTTTGCTGTGCGTGTGTATGTATGCATATATACTTACATAGAGAGAGACCTGTAGATTAGAGAATGACTCTTTGCCTCTAGTAATTACTGTGCCATTGCTATAGTATGCTTCAATTTGGAAAACAGTGTTCAGAATAAATGATTCTCAAATTGAGCATCATTCTTAATACAAACACCCAACAAAGAGAGCAGGACCTCTTTTAAATATTTAGGTCTTTTTCTCCAGGAGCCTTAATTCTGGAAGACACACTTTAATGTAGCTCTTTTATTGTAGATATGTAGGCACGTCTCCCCCTCCTCCCCCCATATTCTCTTACACTAGAGAACACTTTCTGTAATTTTTATTGGTCTGGACCTCATAGCATGAGGCCTCAAGACCACCTTTCCTTAAGGGAGAGCTTATATAGCTTTGATGTTGTTCGTTACTGGCCAGTAGGAGGCGTTACATGACTGATTTCATCCTTTTGGGGACTCTTCAGGCCTAGTAATCCTGCATACTAGATGTTCGGTGTTCAGCCCTTTCTTGAGATTTGAACCCACAGACCTAGCACTTGATGATTATTCAGTAGCTTGCAGGAAGGAAGGTCTCATAGAAATATGCTGGTCTTCCTTCCTTTCCTTTCCTTTCCTTTCCTTTCCTTTCCTTTCCTTTCCTTTCCTTTCCTTCCCTTTCCTTTCCTTTCCTTTCCTTCCCTTTCCTTTCCTTTCCTTTCCTTCCCTTTCCTTTCCTTTCCTTTCCTTCCCTTTCCTTTCCTTTCCTTTCCTTCCCTTTCCTTTCCTTTCCTTTCCTTCCCTTTCCTTTCCTTTCCTTTCCTTCCCTTTCCTTTCCTTTCCTTTCCTTCCCTTTCCTTTCCTTTCCTTTCCTTTCCTTTCCTTTCCTTTCCTTTCCTTTCCTTTCTGCAGGACCTTGAAGTCCATACATCTTCAAATGGCCAAGGTTGAGAAACACTGGTTTAAACCATGACTGCAGTGTAACTTGAAAGCAGGTTTTGAAAGATTCCTGTGGACATTATGTCCTGCACCGACCTTTCTATGAAACAATAAGAGGATGTTTGCTGGCTCAGATTAATAAATTTAAAGTTTTATAATAAATTCAAAGTTATATAAACAAAGAGTGATTCCTTTTATGGCCATTGTTACTTTGTTCTTTTTTAAAGTTAAGAAAGACATTATATTTGCTAGTTTTCCTAGACATTTTGCTTAGTTGTAATTTTGTATCAACCTTATAATATTTGGGGAATCCATTAGTATGGTAACTATAAATAGAAGGGTTTATATAATATTTCATATTTTGTTTTATGATTACATATGCTAAACTATGTTATGATTTGTTGGTACAACAAAAGACTTAACACATATACATTGACTTATATAACTTGAGATGAGGGGCCAAATGATTTTTTATTGTTTTAAGAGATAGGAAAATTAAGAGGATGTTGTTAGAATACGGCAGAGACACTTGCTTGCACACCATTCCCATGTTACTTTAAACATTTGCAAAAAATGCTGGCAGTTGATGTGTTTTTTCCTACCAAATTAATTTCTAAAAATAAACTTCAGCACTTCACTAAGCAGCCCATATGGCGCTTGTCTGCAGATGTTACCAGACTTGTGGGTTTAAGCCACCATAATGCAATGCATCTTTAGGCCCTGATCTCAGTTCAAAGTTAGACTAAGATTTCTGTGAGACCCACATACATGGGTTTGATCTCGGTAATTCAAGAATAAACTTAGGTAAGAAAAATCCCATATATGTGAAATCCCAAAAGTAAGAGACATCCCAACTATTTCTACAGTTTGCCTATCACTCCACTCCAAATAAATCCATACAAATCAATACACGGACCATCACTGTGATATTGCGTTTTTCCCATGACTTCTCCAAAAGGTGTACAATCCCATGCCACTGGCCCTTCCTAATATTGCTATCAAACCATAATCTTCAGTGTGAAAGAGAAGGGCAAAGGGAGATAATCATTTAATATTAATTAAATGTAATTATAAATGAAATTTACTCTTGGCACTGGTTCCACCTTGACTTTTGAAATTTGCCACATCATTCAAAAGCCAAGTGTGACCCTTGGCCCAGAAAAAGTTGAACAGTCCTACTAGAACATGAAAATGTATCCTTATCATCATGATAGCCAAACATTTCATTCTCCTAATTCCCAAAGGCATCATAGAACTGTTAGACCAGCATTTCTTAAATACCATTAATCCATCTTGAAGATGTTTGGCTATCTAGTCCCAGGATCTGAAGAAAGGGGTTGTTTTGTTTTGTTCTGAGTGAGTTTGGACTCCTTCAATTTCTGTAGTCAAACAAATCCCTTACTGATAAATGAAGGTGAAATGTTGTCACATCTCTCTTTAGGCATCACATTGAAATGGTTAGAAAAAATATCACCACTAGAAGAATTTTGGATGAAAGTTCATAGCAAATAAGAGTTTTAAGTGAAAATGCACAAAAGTTCTATCTTTTCTCTCAATATATGTATTTGAAAATCACTATAAAAGAACAAATATTAAAATAGGCTGAATGTTAGCTGACTCCAAAATTTTATTTCACAAATCTCACTCCAGACACTGAAGAAATGCCTTGATACACAAGCTCCACTAAGATTTGTGCTCAACATATTACATATAAGGGAAATAAAAAGTATTGCTAAAACCAATTTTACTACAGTATTCTTTTTTCTCTTTTTTAAATAAATGATTGTTGTTCTTTGTTTAAAAAACAACTATATTGTTTGGTGGTCTTGAAAATTTTTTTTTAAAATACTATATTAAGCTGTTTTCCTTTCCATTTTTTAAAAGAAAACTTGACAATAACTATACCAAACTATTTAAATGCGAATTAACAAAAAAATAGCCAGAATTAACCACGTCTATTTGAAACTCATTAAAACTCATTAAAGCAAAGCATAAACCCAAGCTTACATTGGAAATATTAAGTAGAGAAACTGATACTATTGCACGAGTAATTTATGAATGCTGTTTCCATTTGCTTCTCTCTCTCAGCTTCTGATATTTAGTATCTCTCTTGTAAGGAAAGTCATGGAAATGCAAAATTCAGTTTTACTTCTCAATTATATTGTTACCCTCTGTGTGAATTTCAAAATCAATTTCCATCTCATATGTAGCCAATATGAAGTATTAGTATTACTTAAACTGATGGTAATTGACTATCTGAATTAACTACCTACCAGACAGAAAAAACTGTGAATAACTTTCACAGCAATGACTAAAGAAACAAATTATGAATATTGAAAAAATAAAATATTGGTCATTTTATGAAGGTGGATTGCTGTGATTACATTTGCCAGTTGGAAATTTGATAAACTCATCAGTTAAACAAAAATAAATAAGTACAGGTGGGATGCTATGATGTTACCCTATTATATTAGGTTAGGCTACATTGTTATGTATCTTTTTATCTTCTGTTACATTATAAAAGTAAATTATCATATGCAAAACAATTGATATGTTTCATATCTGAAATTCATATTCATACCATACAGAACTGTTCATCTTTGTCCAGTTAAGTCTGGGTTTGTATTGAGATTCATTACATTGCAAGTGTTCCCGAATTAATGAAGAAATCCTATTTAGATATTTGGGCTGCATCAGTGTAAATATAATTCAAAGAAAATATTGCAGTAGGACTCTATTTGGCCTTCACTCCTAGAAGTACTTTAAATTAAGGAACACCCACACATACGCATGCGCATGCACACGCACATATACACACACACACATATGAAAAAAGCTATATATATACATACATACATATGAAAGAAAGCTCTTAATCTATTACATGAATTCATGTTCCTTCTAAAATAAATCTTGTTTTTTAGAAAAATTGTAGGTATGGTTTCCCAAAAGTAATTCTATCAAAACTTACCCATCTATCTTGCTTTGATCAGCCCACTCAGGAATATTCCTTTAATAGTTCAGTATATATAACACAATCTTTAATTGTTGCAAAGTGTTTATTTTAGGAAAGAATTCTAAAGGATTCTTTGAGAAAAGAGTGTACAGAAGTGTTAGACAAAAGTTTTATGTACTGAAACTCCTCTCTCTCAGCATTTAAATAACTTATTGAGAACCCAACATCAGCAAAGTGATGCTGCATTAAATCTGAAGTGCACTGACACCAGGGAAGACCTTTTTACATAGTTCTGCAAAATCTTATCTCAGAAGTATGGTTTCCTGTCAATTTAGTGTGTCACAGTAATTGAGTAAGTATTTAGGACAGACTAGAAACACTCACTAACAAAGTTTACTAGATGACTTTGGGCAGTCGTTATGTTTCAGTCTAACCTAGCTCAGAGGTTTTAAGGTTGTTTTCAGAATAATTTAAAGTGGGAAACGTGCTGCCTTGAGCTCCAGGAGGAAAAGTGGAACATAAATAGAAAAGTTCAAATGAATAAAATAAATGTTGAAGAAAATATTTTATATTTAAAAATTCTAAACTTGAAATCAAAAGTGGCATCAGAATTTTATGGCATATTGTGTGGTCATTTAATGCATATATGGTACATTTTTGTACAAACCTTTTACACATATTACACAAAAATCTCT